CCTCACTCATGGTTTCCTGAGGCATCTGAAGTAAGAATGAAACACCTCAGAGAAGACAGAGAGGGAAGAACCAAGTACTGATTGGAGTCGTACTGTGTGCTGGCTCTCCTTTTTAGTACAAAAGGACTATGGAGAACTGTTCATGTATTCTCTCCACAAACTTGTATAAACCACCTACTATGTGCCAGGTATCGTTGGTATTTTAGATGAAACTGAATCAATGAATAAAGAAACAGGCCACATTCAAATTTAAAAAACAAACAAAAACCAAAAAAAACACCTTTGCATCAAAGTGTCCTTAGTCTCCTCCCTTGGGTTAGAAAATCCGATTACCACCTTATGCTGCCTGTTCTCTTGGTTGCTAAGTTCATTTGGTGTGTTGGTAGGGAATCCCAAGGAAAACAGTCAAAAAGGATAGGGGTAGGGTCCCACAGGGGTGTGAAGAAACAGGCTCAGTCTGCTCTCCAGTCCCCAGGCCATGGCTGAGTCTATTCTAGCCTTGTCCCAGAGATGGGCCAGTGGCACCAGCAGATACAAGATATTGCCTGGGTTCTTTATGTTTTTCTCCTCTACCCCGAGGTGGTGTCTCACTCTGTTGCCCAGGCTGGAGTGCAGGGTACGATCATGGCTCACTGCAGCCTTGACCTCCTGGACTCAAGCAATCCTCCCGCCTCAAGCTCCCAAGTACTTGGGACCACAGGCACCCACCACCACACCCAGTTAATTTTTAAATTTTTTTTTTTTTTTTTTTGAGATGGAGTTTCGCTCTTGTTGCCCAGGCCAGAGTGCAGCGGTGCAATCTCGGTCACCGCAATCTCTGCCTCCCAGGTTCAAGTAATTCTCCTGCCTCAGCCTCCCAAGTAGCTGGGATTACAGGCATGCACCACCAGGCCCAGCTAGTTTTGTATTTTTAGCAGAGACAGGGTTTCACCATGTTGACCAGGCTGGTCTTGAACTCCTGACCTCAGGTGACCCACCCACCTCAGCCTCCCAAAGTACTGGGATTACGGGCATGAGCCACCGCGCCTGGCCGATTTTTTAAATTTTTAATAGAGACAGAGTCTCCCAATGTTACCCAGCTGGTCTCAAACTCCTGGGCTCAAAGAATCCGTCTTCCTCTACCTCCCAAAGTGCTGGGATTACAGGCGTGAGCCACCGTGCCTGGCCTGATATATTCTAACGGGCTCATTCCAAAGACAACACAGACCCAAACCCAGAGTGAAACTCCTGTGGAGAGACTCTGGGATGCTGCTAAGGGAACACCCCAGGGCCCCACCATCAGGGACACACTGCAGCGGCAGCTCCGAGCCACCCTGGCCCGCGGCTGGGGGGCGGCAGAACAAGGATGCCATTGGGATCTCCACTCACCCACGAGTCATTTCCTTATTTCTCTTGCACTACCCCAAACCACAACTGCTTGAAATGCCTTTAAAGAAACTGACGGGTGTGGCCTTGGGAGGGAACAGTGTAAATAGGGCCTGACAAAGGTGGGTATTGAGGAAAGAAGAGATCTTATGGGGAAGCGGGAGAAGACCAAGCCACCTTCATCTTTCTAAAGATGAGGGCCCCAGAAGTATGACTACTTGGTTTCGCATAACCAAAGCACGTCTAGATCCCCTGAGAAAGAATTTTTGAATTGAGACCTATGGGAATTTTATTTTCCCATTGTGAAGAAGTATGGCTGCCTTCCCACAAAATTATAACAGTACGTGTGCATGTGCGTGTGTGTGTGTGTGTGTTTCATGGTTTTCAAAAGATTTTCTACATATTGTCCTGTGTAATTCTCACAGCATCACCATAATGTCAATACAACCATATATAGCAAGAGCCTGGAGTTGGCTAAGCCTGAATGCCAATTGCAGCTCATTCTTTAAATAGTTATATGACCTTGGGCCAACTATTTAACCTTCTCCCTAGCTGTAAAATGGGTATAATAAGACTTGCTTTGCAGTAATATTAAACACATTGGCAATTATATTTGGGGTGGGGGGATAGGGAGGAAATAGCTTAGTGTCTGGCCATGATATGGCATCAATAAGTAGTAGCATTAGGTGGGAATAAGCTTGAGTGAAAAAACTGAAGTTCAGAGAGACGGAGTGATGTGTCTTAGGTCCCAATTCTGGTTGACTGGGGAGGCAGGACTAGAACCCAGGTCTCTAGACTCTTGTTCCCAGCATCCAGCTGCTACAGCACCCTAATTCCCACTTTAGTACCTGCCCAAGGATAACATTTTAGATAGCAAACTCTGCCATCCTGCATTTCTTTTCCTTTTTCTTTTTCTTTTTTGAGATAGGATCTCACTCTGTCACCCAGGCTCGAGTGCAGTGGCGCAACCTGAACTCACCGCAACCTCCATCTCCTGGGTTCAAGCCATCCTCCCGTCTCAGTCTCCCTAGTAGCTGGGACTACAGGCTTGCGCCACCACACCCAGCTAATTTTGTATTTTTTGTAGAGACAGAGTTTCTTTTTTTTTTTTGAGACGGAGTCTGGCTCTGTCACCCAGGCTGGAGTGCAGTGGCCGGATCTCAGCTTACTGCAAGCTCCGCCTCCCGGGTTTAAGCCATTCTCCTGCCTCAGCCTCCGGAGTAGCTGGGACTACAGGCGCCCACCACCTCGCCCGGCTAGTTTTTTGTACTTTTTAGCAGAGACGGGGTTTCACCGTGTTAGCCAGGATGGTCTCGATCTCCTGACCTCGTGATCCGCTGAGACGGAGTTTCATCATGTTGCCCAGCTGGTCTCAAACTCCTGAGCTCCAGTGATCCATCCCCCTAGGCCACCCAAAGTGCTGGGATTACGGGTGTGAGCCACCACGCACAGTCTAATTCTGCATTTCTTTTCTTTTCTTTTCTTTTCTTTGGAGACAGAGTCTCTCTGTGTTGGCCATGCTGGAGTGCAGTGGCGCGATCTCAGCTCACTGCAACCTCCGTCTCCCGGGTTCAAGCAATTCTCCTGCCTCAGCCTCCCGAGTAGCTGGAACTACAGGTACATGCCGCCACACCCGGCTAATTTTTTTTTTTTTTTTTTTTCTATTTTAGTAGAGACGGGGTTTCACCAGATTCTGCATTTTTTTTTAGTCCTGCATTTTCTGCTTTCACCCAAAGGGAAAAAAAAAAGGAAATAAATGTCACACATGAGCTCAAAGACCAGCAAAGCTCCCTATTTTCTGTAGTGCAGGGTTCATAACCTGGTGCCAGTGACTGAATTGTGCGCCTGTAAAATTCACATTTGAAGCTTCAACCCCCAGTGTAATGGTATCAGGAGGTAGGGCTTCTGGGAGGTAATTAGGTTTAGATGAGGCGGTAAGGGTAGAATCCTTATGATGGGGGTTGGTGCCCTTAGAAGACACCAGAGAGCTTCCTCATTCTCTCTCTCTCTCTTTCCATGTATATATATATGTGTATCTTGTCCTTCTCATGCAAAGAAGAGGTCACGTGAGCACACCAAAAAATGGCCGTTGTCCATGAGCTGGAAAGAAAGCCCTCACCAGAACCCAGCCATCCTGCACCCCTATCATGGACTTCTAGCCTCAAGAATTGTGAGAAAATAACTCTCTATTATTTGACCACCTGTGCTATGGCATTTTGTTATGGCAGCCCCAGCAGACTAAGACACCTAGTGTCCATGGACCACACACACACACTGGGACTCAGGGATGGGCCTCAAGTTAAGAACCTTCTCCCTTGTTGTCAGAAATATATTGTTTGAGTTCCGGAGATCCAGACAAGTCTGGACAACATAGCAAGATTTCATCTCTACTAAAAATCAAAAAATCTAGGCCGGGCTTGGTGGCTCATGCCTGTAATCCCAGCACTTTGGGAGGCTGAGGCAGGTGGATCACGAGGTCAGGCGTTCAAGACCAGCCTGGCCAACGTGGTGAACTCCCACCTCTACTAAAACAAAAATTAGCTGGCCATGGAGGCACGCTCCTGTAGTCCCAGCTACTCGGGAGGCTGAGGCAGGAGAATTGCTTGAACTCGGGAGGCGGAGGTTGCAATGAGCCGAGATCATGCCACTGCACTCCAGCCTGAGCAACAAGAGTGAAACTCTGTCAAAATAATAACAACAACAACAACAACAACAACTAACAATCAAAAAAATTAGCTAAGTGTGGTGGTGCACACCTGTGGTTCCAGTTACTCACAAGGCTGAGGTGGGAGGACCACTGGAGCCTGGGAGCTGAAGTCTGCAGTGAGCTATGGTCATGCCACTGCAGTCCAGCCTAGGCAAAACCCCGAGAAAGAAAAGAAAAGAAAAGAAAAGGGAAGAAAAGAGAGCATTTTCCTTGAGTATGTCCATGGCTTTCATCACATTCTCAAAGGAATCCATGGCAAGGTTAGAAGTGCTACGAACCTGTATCCCTTCACCTGAGTACCTGCCAGCATAGGTCAGGTTTGCCTTAGAAGGTGCACCTGGCTCTCGATGTTAAAGGCTGCCTCTCCAGGTGACACAAAGGGGCTGGTAGGGATCGACCTGCACAGGGCAGAGGAAGACAGGTCCATCCAGGGGGAAAAACATTTCCCTATGTCAGTTTTTGATTTTTTTGTTTGTTTGTTTGTTTGTTTGTTTGTTTGTTTGTTTGTTGAGACAGAGTTTCACTCTGTCCCCCAGGTTGGAGTGCAATGGCGCGATCTCGGCTCACTGCAACCTCCACCTTCCGGGTTCAAGCAATTCTCCTGCCTCAGCCTCCTGAGTAGCTGGGACTACAGGTGTGCGCTACCACACCTGGCTAATTTTTGTATTTTTAGTAGAGATGGAGTTTCACCATGTTGCCCGGGCTAGTCTGGAACTCCTGACCTCAAGTGATCCTCCTCCCTCGGCCTCCCAAAGTGCTGCGGTTACAGGCGTGAGCCACTGTTCCTGGCTCCTATGTCAGCTTTTTATTGGAAGCCTATTTGCTTACTGCAGGAAAAATATATGTATATATTTTATCTCTAGATGGCAGGATTTTTTTTCCTCTCACTAAAATACACCATGGAATAGTCATCAGAAGGAAACTTTTGTTTTTAACCAGTATTGTTTCTCTTTCATGATAATGACATCTGACATTGAGTTTTTACAGTTTCCAAAGCCCTTGTACTTGCTTTGTCTTGTTTTTAATCTTTACAGAAACTCTGTATAGCACATGCTATGAGCCTCATTTTATAGATGAGGAAACAAGCTTGGAGACGTAAGTAACCATTAGAAAGCCATGTGGCACCACCCAGCCCAGCCCTCACTGCAGAGCCGAGTGGTCTTTGCTGCATCCCTCTGCCTCCAGAGAGGCCTTCTGGCCCTGCAGGTGGCTTTCACATTAGAGGCTGTGGCCCTGCCATCTTTTCCCCCAGACAACAGTGCGGCGGCCCCCGCCCTGCTGAGCTCATTTGCAGTTAATATTGCCCTGAGGCCTTGGTAGGTCACACAGTCTGCTTTTTAGACTGTTAGGTTTGGCCGGGACTGCGGCTCCGCCCTTAAGTTCTCTTTCCCAAGTGAAAATAGCTGATGAATTGACTTCGCTGAGGCCGGGCTGGCATCTCTTAGCAAATGTCTCCAATCACATCTTGTTTTCCGTAATTCATGTTTGGTGCTATTATTGTATTTCTACCCATTCCAAGATGCAGAACAGAACTATCAAATGGCTGTGTCTTTACTTGCGATTAGTCAGGGACTTCATTTCTCGGGATCCAGCTCACCTGTAATTTTAGGGCTTCCGGCAGGCAAGGCCACTCTTGTCTAGAAGAAGCTGGAAAGGAGATGCTGTCAGTGCCAGGCCTCCTGCTCTCCTCCCCAGTTCCAACCCACTAATTCCAAGTCCTTCCCCGTATCTCCTGTCCTCTAAGCACCTTCTCACTTCTAACCTGTTCTTGTTTACACTAACAACATCTGTTGAGCGCCTTCCTTATTCCAGCGCTTTATATTCATTATCCAAATCCATTTTATGCTCCCAGGAAGAAGCTGATAAGCATATCCATGGCAAGGTGTATTTTATTTTATTTTTTTTTTTTGAGACGGAGTCTCGCTCTGTTGCCCAGGTTGGAGTACAGTGGCCAGATCTCAGCTCACTGCAAGCTCCGCCTCCCGGGTTCCCGCCATTCTCCTGCCTCAGCCTCCCGAGTAGCTGGGACCACAGGCGCCGCCACCTCGCCCAGCTAATTTTTTGTGTTTTTAGTAGAGACGGGGTTTCGCCGTGTTAGCCAGGATGGTCTCGATCTCCTGACCTTGTGATCCGCCCATCTCGGCCTCCCAAAGTGCTGGGATTACAGGCTTGAGCCACCGCGCCCGGCCCATGGCAAGGTTTATAAAACAGCTAAGGTTTAATGGGCTAACCCCAGGGCATTTAGTGGAAACCAGAGACCTTCCAGCATTGTAAATACAGGTGAGGAAAGAAATCTATGCTTGGTTTAGTTTTGGTTGACTGGAAGTTTCTTCCTATAAGATCTTGAATTGTGCTAAGGATTCACCTGTTCCTCTTTTGCAAGACTGTCTGACAAGTGTCATTACTCATTTCAGTTCAGTGCAGTGCTAGATATTAAGCATCTATTATGTGCAGGGCATTGTACTAATCTGGCAATACAAAGATCTCTGCACAAAGGAGACCCCCGGACTCCTGCAACTAAGGAAAGGTAATAATGACATTTTTCAGAGGAGATTTTTTTTTTCCTTTTTTTTTTTTTTTGTTTGTTTTTTGAGACAGAGTCTCACTCTGTCTTCTGGGCTGGAGTGCAGTGGCGCGATCTCGGCTCACTGCAAGTTCCGCCTCCTGGGTTCACACCATTCTCCTGCCTCAGCCTCCCGAGTAGCTGGGACTACAGGTGCCCGCCACCTCGCCCAGCTAATTTTTTTGTATTTTTAGTAGAGACGGGGTTTCACTCTGTTAGCCAGGATGGTCTCGATCTCCTGACCTCATGATCCACCCGCCTTGGCCTCCCAAAGTGCTGGGACTACAGGAGTGAGCCACCACGCCCAGCCCAGAGGGGATGTTTTAAGGGCTTCTTCAATTCACTGCAGGTTCAGAGTGACTGCTTTACAGATTTAAGTTATAAAATAAGCCCAAAGATAAGACCCTAGAAAAAAGAATGAACATACAAATAGAACTAATGTATAAACATACACAAAAAGTTAAGTCCCCTCTCTCTGTTACTGTAACCACCCAAGGGGTTCACCTTGCACGCTGCCCAGACAGAGCCGATTCACCAAGACAGGGGAACTGCAATAGAGAAAGAGTAATTCATGCCGAGCCGGCTGTGAAGAAGACTGGAGTTTTATTCTTACTCAAATCAGCCTCCCTGAGCGTTTGGGGAGCAGAATTCTTAAGGATAATTTGGCAGATCCGGGGAAGCGGGTGAGCCAGAAGTGCTGATTGGTCAGAGATGAAATCATAGGGAGTCGAAGCTGTCTTCTTGCAGAGTCAGTTCTGGGTGGGGACCGCAAGATCCGATGAGCCGGTTTATTTATCTGGGTGGGACCAGCTGATCCATCAAGTGCAGGGTCTGCAAAACAAGTCAAACGCTGATCTTAGGAGCAGTTTAGGGGAGGGTTAGAATCTTGTAGCCTCCAGCTGCGTGACTTCTAAACCCTGAAAGGCAATCTAGTCCCCAGGCTAGAAGGAGGGCTGCTTTGGGAAAGGGTTGTTACCATCTTTGTTTAAACTATAAACTAAGTTTCTCCCAAAGTTAGTTCAGCCTACACCCAGGAATGAATAAAGACAGCGTGGAGGTTAGGAGCAAGATGGACTCAGTTAGGTTTGATCTCCTTCACTGTCTCAGTCATACTTTTGCAAAGGCAGTTTCAATCTGATGTTCTGCTGTGATACTTCCTTAAGGAGCCTGACCTCTCACAGGTACGAGTGACCAGAGGAGGCCCTGCAATGGCAACCAGGAGGGGGAAAACAGAAAGGCCTAGAAAATCAACTCCAACTGTTTGACAGTGTTGCTTTAAGATGCAGGAAGTGAAGAGTGATTGGCATGGCCGGGTGTGGTGGTTCACGCCTATAATCCCAGCATTTTGGGAGGCTGAGGCGGGCAGATCACTTGAGGTCACGAGTTCGAGACCAGCCTGGCCAATATGGAGAAACCCTATTCTCTACTAAAAATGCAAAAATTAGCTGGGTATGGTCGTGCACACCTGTAATCCCAGCTACTTGGGAGGCTGAGGCAGGAGAATTGCTTGAATCCGGGAGGTGGAGGTTGCAGTGAGTCGAGACTGCACCACTGCACTCCAGCCCGGGCGACAGAACGAGACTCTGACTCAAAAAAAAAAAAAAAAAAAAAAGAGTGATTGGCAAAGTGCCCTGCAGTGCCTGATGTTATTATTAGTTCCTCTTTCACATTCCTATCTCAGGCCTTCAAATCGCCAGTTACCAGAGCTGTCATTCACCTCACGCTGTGATGAGGGCTGGGCATGCATTTTCTCATTCAATCCTCACAGCAACTGGATGAAATGAACATTGTTATGTATCCCCACATTATAGGGAGGAAACTGAGGCTTCATAAGGTTAATATCTGGCCCAAGAGAACCAGAATCAACTCCAAGTTTCTCCAGCCAGAGACTAGGCTGGTCATCACCACTTTCGATGGCGGCTGATGCTCACGCCCTCCAAGGGTTTCTGTGGATTCTAAGTGGAGCTCTGTGCCACGGAGGAGAGCCAAAAAGGAGGCCCCAACCCTGCAGGGCTGAAGAGGCTCCCCAAGACTGATGCCCACTCACTGGACCACCAGTCTCCTCCCAAAGGGCTTTTAAAGGAAACCAGGAAGTAACACTGTTCCCATACATGGGGTCTGATGGTGTCACTTTGAACAGAGAAAAGGCTCCTATGAGATCCCATTCTGAAAGGGAGCAGGCCAACCTGGTCTCTGCAGGGAGGCAGTGCATACCTGGACTAGAAGTTAGCTTTATCACCAGCTCTTTATTCTTTTCACATTTGGTTAATAACCATTCATCAAACATCAACTATGGATCAGGTTCTGTGCTAGGTCCTGATTCAAATAAAAAGTATTATTCCTGCCTTTAGAAAAGTAAGCAGAGAAGGCAGGTAGGTGAAGCTGTAGTACAATGTAGGAAGTGCTGAAAATGAGAAGCAGTTAGGAATAAGACTGGGTTTAATTCTGAGTTTGACACGGAGTGCAGTGGGGTTATTTAAAAACTGTAAGCTTCAATTTCCTCTGCTATAAAATGGGGATAATGAGGCTGTCAGGCCTCTGAGCCCGAGCCCAAGCCAAGCCATCGCATCCCCTGTGACTTGCACGTATACGCCCAGATGGCCTGAAGTAACTGAAGAATCACAAGAGATGAAAATGCCCTGCCCCGCCTGGACTGATGACATTCCACCAGAAAAGAAGTGAAAATGGCCGGTCCTTGCCTTAAGTGATGATATTACCTTGTGAAAGTCCTTTTCCTGGCTCATCCTGGCTCAAAAAGCTCCCCCACTGAGTACCTTGTGACCCCCACTCCTGCCCACCAGAGAACAACCCCCCTTTGACTGGAATTTTCCTTTACCTACCCAAATCCTATAAAACGGCCCCACACTTATCTCCCTTCCCTGACTCTCTTTTCGGACTCAGCCCGCCTGCACCCAGGTGATTAAAAAGCTTCATTGCTCACACAAAGCCTGTTTGGTGGTCTCTTCACACGGACGGCACGACAGAGACCTTCTACCTCTTAGGCTTTGTTGAAAGGATTTAAACAACAAAGGTATGGAAAATGTTTGACTCTAGGACTGTTCCTGGTTGTCTGCTGAATAACTGCCAATTCTCACAATCTTGGGCAGGTGACTAAACCCTTCCTCTTCAGCTTCCCAATCTGTCAATTCAGGCTGACACATCTTCCAAACTTCTGGATCTGTCAATCAATAGAGGTCACCTAAAAACTCTGTGAGAGGAATTATGAGAACATAGAAGGAATAAAAAGCCCTCAGAAGGGCCAGGTGCAGTGGCTCACGCCTGTAACCCTGGCACTTTGGGAGGCTGAGGCAGGCGGATCACTTGAGGTCAGGAGTTTGAGAACAGCCTAGGCAACACGGTGAAACCCCGTCTCTAGTAAAAACACAAAAATTAGCCAGGCGTGGTAGTGCACACCTGAAGTCTTGCTACTCAGGAGGCTGTGGTAGGAGGATCACTTGAGCCCAGGAGGCAGAGGTTGCAGTGAGCTGAGAGCACGCCACTGTACTCCAGCCTGGGCAACAGAGACCCTGTCTCAAAAAGAAAAGGAAAAAAAAAAAATCCCTCAGAGGGCTTCTAGAAAAGCTGGGAGACTAAGAGGAGCAATGTGTTGAACACAGAAGTGAGTCAGTGTGAGCTGTATTGGTGTCTACTCTTCCCTCTGTGGTTCTTCGAAGGGAGTGGAGGGTGGGTGATGGGGGTGACTCAAGAATGCACAGGGCTTTATCAATCAAATTCCCACATGGAACCAGGAACAAGCCTGGCAGGTTCATGGACCAGCGAAGAGATTGGCGTAGATCCTTTCAGGGATCGTTTAGATTATAATCATAGACCTTCAGAGTCACCTAATTGGGTGGATGAGAACACCGCTGAGCTCATGCTTTGCCCACAGTCCCAGCAGTCACCCTGCCATGTCAGATGTCTTTCCTCGGAAGCTCTCTCCTGCCAGTGGCAGCCGCTGGGGTCACCTGTCCCCAGGTGCCTCATCTCATCAGGTTCCACGAAACTCCTCCTCTTCACCCATCAGCCTGGATCCAGGCCTGCACCTTCCAAGAATGCAGATGCCACGACCAACCTGCATCCACAGAGAATGAGAAACACAGCTTGAAAGGCCAGTGATGCCCCCACAGAGTGGCCAATCACATCTTGCTAGAGTTTTCCATGCCAATAAAACCAGATAAAGCAAATAAACACTTTCAGCCTGACCCAAAGGAGAACAAATGAGGCAGTTATAAGAAGGTAGGGTGTGACCCTATAAACATAAACCGGTAGAGCTGGAAAAAACTCCTTCAAAGAGAATGGCTCACCTTGCTCCATTTCCCTTGCAGCGATTCCTGGGGCACATCTAGTATCAGCAGTTGCAGGTATTAGTAATGGAAATGAAATCCATACCTCCCAGCTAACAATCTCTGCCCAGTTACTTGTAGTTACTTATCTGTCTCTATCAAGTAGCACATATATTACATTCATGCCTAAATAAACAAGAAAAAAAGGCTAATTTCCTGGCAGGAAATTTTTACATAATTAGTCAGCAGCTCCAGCCCCTGGTCCGTCTCTAACCAGCACTGTGACCTTTAGCAGGTCCACCTCTCTTCATCACCCTCAGCACAACCTCAGGCCCAGCCCCCACAAGCCTCTCCTGGACCACCCCAGTGGCTTCCAGCTGATTTCTGTGTCTCTAGTTTTTCTTCTCTCCCAAGCATTCCCCACTCTAGAAGCCTTTTGTGTAGAGATCCTCCTAAAACCCCAAATCTGCTCAACTCTCTCCTGCTTAAAATCCATAACCTCTCAGCCCAGCCCAGTGGCTTCACATCTGTAATCCCAGCACTTTGGGAGACCAAGGCAAGAGGATCACTTGAGCCCAGAAGTTTGAGACCAGCCTGGGCAACATAGGTAGATACTGTCTCTACAATAAGTAAAAAGTTAATTGGGCATAGTGGTGCTCACCTATAGTCCCAGCTACTCAGGAGGCTGAGTGGGGAGGATGGCTTGAGCCCAGGAGGTCGAGGCTGTAGTGAGCTGTGCTTACGCCACTGCACTGCAGCCTGGGTGACAAAACAAGATCCTGTCTCAAAAACAAACAAAAATCTACAACCTCTCTTCATTTACTCTAGGACAAGTTCAGACATCCATGTACAGCTTACAGTCATTTGTGATCTGGCCCCTGTTTACCATTCCAGAATGATATCTGTCTCTCCATTCACCCACCCCCCTTTTTTTTTTTGAGACTGAGTCTTACTCTATCTCCCAAGCTGGGGTGCGGTGGTGCGATCTCGGCTCACTGCAACCTCCGCCTCCCAGGTTCAAGCAATTCTCCAGCCTCAGCCTCCCGAGTAGCTGGGATTACAGGCACATGCCACCATGCCCAGCTAATTTTTGTATTTTTAGTAAAGACGGATTTCACCATGTTGGCCAGGCTGGTCTTGAACTCGTGACCTCAAGTGATCCGCCCACCTCGGCCTCCCAAAGTGCTGGAATTATAGGCGTGAGCCACTGCGCCTGGCCTCTCCATTCACTGTCTTAAATTCTATGTTCCAGTTATATATTTACATACCCATGGCTCCCTGTATAATACTAATAACAGCAACAATGACCAATATCTATTGTTTGCTATGTATCAGGTTTGTTCTAAAAAACTCTTCCTTCTGATTCAAGTTGGTGTTTGAAAAAGAAAGACTAATAAAAATAGATTAATAAAAGACTCTTTGTGCATTAACTTATTTAATCTTTACAACTCTACTAGCTATTAACTATAATTATCTCCATTTCACAGATGAGAAAACAGACAAAGAAAGGTGAAATAACTATCCAGGCCGGGCACGGTGGCTCAAGCCTGTAATCCCAGCACTTTGGGAGGCCGAGACGGGCGGATCACGAGGTCAGGAAATCGAGACCATCCTGGCTGACACGGTGAAACCCCGTCTCTACTAAAAAATACAAAAAAACTAGCCGGGCGAGGTGGCGGGCGCCTGTAGTCCCAGCTACTCGGGAGGCTGAGGCAGGAGAATGGCATGAACCCGGGAGGCGGAGCTTGCAGTGAGCCAAGATCACGCCACTGCACTCCAGCCTGGGCGGCAGAGCGAGACTCTGTCTCAAAAAAAAAAAAAAGAAATAACTATCCAAAGTCACTCAACAAGTAAAAGGTGTAGAACCTGAATACAACCTGCTTACCCTGCCCTCACTCCTTCTCTCTGGGTCTTTGTACGAGAGGCTCCCTCCGCCTGGAAGACCCTTCCTTTTCTCCCCCATTCTTCACTTGGCTAACTCCTCCTCCTCGTCTGAGAGTTCCCCTGTAAACATCTCCTCCTCTGAGGTTTCCCTTGCTAGGCTGCTGTTTCCCCTCAATGGCAGCTAGTCTCCAAAGACAGCACCCACTGAATGATGTCTTCCAACAACCATGCTCTTACGTAGTTCTCTCGGATACTGAATCTCATTTGACCCTGTGACTCACCGTGGAATACAGCAGAAGGGATGCTGAATAAATTCCAGGGCTAAGTCATAAAAAGCCTTGCGATTTCTGCCCAAGTCTCTTGAAAAAGTCACTCTGGGGATCTATAAGGAACTTAAACAATCTAACAAGCAAAAAATAAACAACCCCCTTAAAAATGGGCAAAGGATATCAGCAGATACTTCTCAAAAGAAGACATACATGTGGCCAACAAATATATGAAAAAATGCTCAACATCACTAATCATTAGAGAAATGCACATCAAAACCACAAGGAGATACCAGTTTATACCAGTCAGAATGGCTATTATTATATATATATATATGGATATATATATTTTTTGAGACAGAGTCTCGCTTTTGTCGCCCAGGCTGATTCTTGGCTCAGTGCAACGTCCGCCTCCTGGGTTCAAGCGATGCTTCTGCCTCAGTCTCCCGAATAGCTGGGATTACAGGCACACATCACCACGCCTGTTTAATTTTTTTGTATTTTTAGTAGAGATGGGGTTTAACCATGTTCGTCAGGCTGGTCTCGAACTCCTGACCTCAGGTGATCCACCTGCTTCCACCTCCCAAAGTGCTGGGATTATAGCCATGAGCCACCACACCCAGCAGAATGGCTATTATTAAAAAGTCAGAAAACAACAAATGCTGGCGAGGTTGCAGAGAAAAGGGAATGCTTACACACTGCTGGTGGGAATGTAAATTAGTTCAGCCACTATGGAAAGCAGTGTGAAGATTTCTAAAAGAACTTCAGAACTGCCAGGTGCAGTGCTCACACCTGTAATCCCAGCACTTTGGGAGGCGGAGGCGGGCAGATCACCTGTGGTCAGGAGTTCAAGACCAGCCTGGCCAACATAGTGAAACCCCGTCTCTACTAAAAATAAAAAAAATTAACTGGGCGTGGAGGCAGGCGCCTGCAATCCCAGCTACTCAGGAGGCTGAGGCAGGAGAATCACTTGACCCCAGGAGGCAGAGGTTGCAGCGCCAAGATTGTGCCATTGCACTCCAGCCTGGGCAACAAGAGTGAAACTCTGTCTCAAAAAATAAAAGAACTTGAGAACTACTATTCTACCCAGTAGTCCCACTACTGGCTGTATACCCAAAGGAAAATAAATCATTCTACCAAAAAGATCCATGTATGCACATGTTTATCACAGCACTATTTGCAATAGTAATGACATGGGATCAACCTAGATGCCCTTCAGCAGTGGACTAGATAAAAAACATATGGTGCATCTACACCATGGAATACTATGCAGTCATAAAAAAGAATGAAATCATGTCCTTTGCAGCAACGTAGGTGGAACTGGAGGCCATAATCCAAATTAACACAGGAACAGGAAACCAAATACAATGTTTTCACTTGTGAGTGGGAGCTAAACAGTGAGTAAACATGAATATAAAGATGTCAACATGGCCAGGCACAGTGGCTCACGCCTGTAATCTTAACAATTTGGGAGGCCGAGGTGGGCAGATTACTTGAGGTCAGGAGTTCGAAATCAGCCTGGCCAACATGGTGAAACCCCGTTTCTACTAAAAATACAAAAAAAACTTAGCCAGGCATGGTGGCAGCTGCCTGTAATCCCAGCTACTCGGGAGGCTGGGGCAGGAGAATAGAACCCAGGAAGCAGAAGTTGCAGTGAGTCAAAATCACTCCATTGCACTCCAGCCTGGGCGACAAGAGCAAAACTCTGTCTCAAAAAAAAAAAAAGGCAACAATCTTTATGGAGACTACTAGTGAGGAGGACTTGTAGCAGGGACGTGAGTTGAAAAATTACCTATCTGGTATTATTGTTATTATTATTATTATTATTATTATTATTTGAGATGGAGTTTCATACTTGTTGCCCAGGCTGGAGTGCAATGGCGTGATCTTGGCTCTCCACAACCTCCGCCTCCCAGGTTCAAGTGATTCTCCTGCCTCAGCCTGCCTAGTAGCTGGGATTACAGGTATGGGCCACCACACCCGGCTCATTTTGTATTTTTAGTAGAGACAGGGTTTCACCATGTTGGTCAGGCTGGTCTTGAACTCCTAACCTCAGGTGATCCGCCCACTTTGGCCTCCCAAAGTGCTAGGATTACAGGCATGAGCCACCTAGCTAAGGATGACTAGCACAGCTGAAGACTTGACTGAGCATATCTCCAGCTCCAGGTAGCTTTTCCATGTGGCTCGCTTGGCTTCTTCACCGCATGAAGTACTTCTTACAGTGTCTGATTTGCTCCAGAGCGACTCTTCATTTTTCCTGACTTTTATGTCAGGTTCAGGGGGTACATGTACAGGTCTGTTACATGGGTCAATTGTATGTCACCAAGGTTTGGTGTATGAATTATTCCATCACCTAGGTAGTGAGTATAATACCTGATAAGGAACCCTGCATAACTATTTGTTTTTAAGAGATGAGGGTCTCGCCGGGCACGGTGGCTCACACCTGTAATCTCAGCATTTTTGGAGGCCGAGACGGGTGGATCACCTGAGGTCAGGAGTTTGACACTAACCTGGCCAAGATGGCGAAACCCCGTCTCTACTAAAAATACAAAAATTAGCCGGGCATGGTGGCGTGCGCCTGTCATCCCAGCTGCTTGGGAGGCTGAGGCAGGAGAATCCTTTGAACCCGGGAGGCAGGG